ACCAAAAATTAATCAAATCTGCGCATATGTTCAGAGCATCTATGTACCAAGTTTCATCAAAATCCAATGAGTGGTTCTTTAGATATCAGTGGAACAGTCATAGAACAGCTAAAAATTAGCTAATTATCATGCAAATTAGGTAATTAACGAGCATGGATTTTTACCAAAACCTAATCAAATCTGCGCATTGGCCCAGAGCATCTATGCACCAAGTTTCATCAAAAACCGATGTATGGTTCTTGAGATAGCAGTGGAACAGTCGGACACACATACACACATACACACACACATACACACATACACACATACACACATACAGACACACTAACTGCAAAGACTCCCATTTTGTGCTTCGCACATGGGAGTCAAAAACATGTAAATAAGCAATTACTATCATAAACTTTGTAACAAATCTGTCAACTAACGACTCCATATCATGTACTTACGTGGAGCAGAAATCAAGTTTGGCAGAAAGGAAAAAAAAGGAATTGAAGGTGAAGTGAATTATACATAACAACTAAGCTACTAATAGTTAAAGCAGGGGAGTCGTCACCTGCGCATGCGTCAGATGGCCATAGCGTGTCATTGTTTACAAACGACAGTCTACCCATGAGCCTTTGCATTTTTAGCGGGTGTTGTTATCGTCGCTTGGGTCTCAATTCTCGCACATGCGCAGGTGATGAATCTCCCTCTTTAATTGAAAATTACATTGTTTGACTTTCAGAAAGTAAAAACAAATGAATATGTGTCATAGTGGCAGTATAATCAAAATATGAATACTGTTCAAGGTGTTACAGGAACTCAAGGTATTACTGATTTTACTCCGATGGAAGTAAATATATTTATAAACCAGGTTTCATGAAGCCGTGAATTTGTTTTATGTAAAATATCTATAAATTTCAAATGGTGATTGAAAACTTGACCAATGAATACAAACCTGTAGAACTCCACTGCACTGAGTTAACTTTTAAACTCTCTTTTGCCAATGGCTTGCTTTGCAATTTATTTACGTTTTGTGCAAAATGATTACCATACTGCATGTGCTTGTTTTTTTATTTTATCAACCATATCACTCTAATTTCAGGCATTCGATAGGATATATTTTTTGCGTTCATGACAGTAAATCAGTCAATTCATGAAGATACCATCCCACAAAGACTCATGGGTAATGGGCGTTACCAGATGATTTCTATAGCCAATAAAAGCATCTTCTATGGATTTGAATGAAGCGTGAGGCTCTTTCAGAATAAATGTTTTATAAACATTCAAACTCGAAAAAACAAACTCACACCAGTGTACTGTATCATTAAAATATTAATCATTTTGACCTTTGAAAGATATTTGTTATTTATGTAAGCATATTTGCTACTAATAAAGCAAATACCAAACATCATTTCTCAGCACAAGGAGGCGAGGTGGCTAATATAGCCTGTCGTTCATATCCTGAATGACATATTTAGCAATCTACTTTCCTAGAATCAGTGTGGCATACCATCAATTTGACCAACGATTTTTTTGCACTTGAACCTTCTACTGAACACAATGATTACTGTTATCTTGATATGCAGAACAGGAATTTGAAAATCTGTCACATCTTCCATGAACATCTCAATTCGATTCATTGAAAATCAATATTAGTACCTCCTTCAACGTTCGTTAGTGATGCCCATAAACTTATCGTACGTACGTAATTTCAATATTCATCACTATTTGAACAAGTGTTTGAGTTGGCACACATAAATCTGAGAATTTCGTAACTTTTACTCGATGCTCACATAAGGAAGGAAAGAAATCCGTGTAAGGAAAAATAAAATAATCCTGAGTTATTTTTTTCACAAGTCTCTTCCGCCGCCATGTTGAATTCCCTGACTGGGGGGGAGGAGACCTTTCGGTAAGCGAAACCGTTCTCATAGGAAAGAAGCGTCGCTGTTTCGATTCATACACGGTCATGAGTAACTTAAAATCATCGCTAATAAAACGTACAATATTAATTAGTCCATTTGTTTAAATAATGAGGCAAAAATCATCAATAACAAGAGCACTCACCATTTTGTATTCTTTCACGTGACCAAATCTGGGTCATTGCAAACACTTACAGCTGATTGGCTGGCAAAATATTTCCGGGTTATAATAGAAGAAGTCATTTCATTGGTTGAAGCATCTGATGTCATTCTGGCGCGAAAAGTTCACAATCAGCTGATCGATTACAAGTTAAAAAGCTGGTCAGTGAATTTACCCTGAAAGTGTCAAGATGGAAGATCAGATTGTGAAAACTTTGGCACCGAAGCTTGGAATACATTCAGCCATGATAATTAGGTAGGTTTTTTTCTGCCTTTCCTCACCTACAGTAAATATTAAAATTGACCGCCGTACTGCTAACTGGAAGACGAAACGGGCCACATAATTATGAGACTGTTTGATTGGATCATTAGATTATGATTATGATCACATTTAGTCGTAAAGGGGTCAACGGATGTTTATTATGCCGAATTTTAATGAAATCATGGGCGTACTAAATGTAATCAATATGGACCGTGACGAAAACCTAGTTTTTTTAATATTTTTGTTTTGATATTGCATGTTGAAGACTCCATTGGATTATAATTTATCGTAATCTAAACAATGTTGATTTTGCAACAGTAAATGAAAAATGAGAAACACTAAAATGCATGCGCATGTTTGTTGTTGTACGTACCAAAAACTATCAGTACACATGTGTATTACACCGTTTCATTGAACAAACTCTTAGTTGTGTACTGCAAGAACAATATTTAGAGTTGATAAATAGATCATAAACAGAAGTTTTCATCAACATACAGTATCAAACAAGAGTATTGAAAATTAAAGGGCGGTGGTCGTCGCGCTGCGCATGTGCGACATTTGTGTTGATAAACATTGATTTTCCCACAATCCAATGCGTTCTTCTAAAGGAAATCGTAAGTATGAGGTTTGATCTGAACGCGATTTGCATTGATTACCGCCGGTGACTCATTCGATACTTTCGAATCACCTAAAAATGCCTAATTAAAGCTTAGTAACATCTAAGTTTGTACTCGTTGATCTGGGCAGCAACCAAAGTCGTCATCTTTGTTTATACAAGACCCATATATCTCGCGCATGCGTGGCATGACGACTACCGCCCTTTAAATGTTCTCATTTGTATTGCATCTATAATTTTTTCTTCCTTCTTTTGCTCTCATCAGCATAATTGTGATGTACAATTTTTCTTTCATTTTTTTTCTAAAATTCTGGCGCATGTTTCTTAACACAACCATTAAAAATATTAACAATTGGGGGGGGGCATACTGGGTTTTCCCATCTAATAGCAATATTATAAACCAGTGACTGATGCAGCATTATCAGTCTTTACAAAGATTGATAATTGAATTAGTTCATTCATGTTGCTCCTGCCTTTATAGAAACTATACAGGTCAATGACCTCATCATTCACGCAGACATTTATATCAGTATGGAACTATCGATATTTGCACCTGTATTTTCAGCTTAAATATTAATATTTTGTTTGTGTTTCTATTTCCTTCTTTTGACTACCACTATACCATTAAACCAACTACATGTATATCATAAAAAACCTAGAACTAAGATTTATTTTATATACCCATTTTCCTTGTACATATAACTTCCCAAAGTTTCAGCATATGATGCACGAGTATGAATCTTCTGATTCTATGGATTGATGGCTGTAATTCAACATTCACAGTGTTTTTAATCTTTTGTAATAACTCATATTTGCATAAATATTAATATATATAATAATATATAAAAATATTATAATAACCTCTGTTTTTTGTTGTTTTTTCCCAGGAAAGCTTCAGAATTGATTCGTCTAAGTGAAGTTCGTCTTAGTTCAAGTAGTTTCTCAACGCTCAATATGACAGGGTCATGTAAAGCAGTAATGTGTCTTGATTTGGCGTCATCTTCCATGGAGCAGCCAGTCAGCAAGGTAGTTAAAGCGACCTGCACAAACGCAGGAATTGAGTGCCAAGCGGGGATAACTACACGCGCTAAAAATGCAAAGGCTCATGGGTAGACGCTTGTTTGTGAACAATGACACGCTATGGCCATCTGACGCATGCGCAGGTGACAACTCCCTCTCTTTAATTAATACACTCAGTGTTTGTATTTACCTTACTACTCTATTAAAAGCATATCTCTAATATATAGAAGCGCACTTAAATTTCATTTACTGTAGACTGAATGAATCATTAAAGTTGCGGTACTTATTTTCAACCATAGAAATACCCCTGTAAGTTATAGAAGTGTTTGCAAACACAGTAATTGTAAAATTTATTGATGTTTGTTTCAGAATCGTGTTACATCTTAGTAATTTTACGCAATAGAATATATATTTTTCAGAAAACTGTCTGGGGAAAAAAAATTCCATCTTTTTAAAGTATTTTAAAAATGAGATAATTTTATTATTGGAAGCAGTGGTAAATGGCTCAAAAATCATAATATTTATGATTTTTTTTTGGTTTTTAAGTTGTTCGGCAACCGTAATCTATTTTATTGGTAGCCAATTATTTATTAACAATAGAATGGTGACATTGTGACTACTCTAGTGATTAAATTTGTCATATTTTATACTACAAGATGGTTTTATGCAACTATTTTTTGTTCAGAACACTGCAATCCGATTGGCTGGTGTCAACAAAAAGATGTACAGTAGCATTTTCCAGACACTAGAGAACGCTCTAGATCTCCAGCCGAGACTGACAGCTCGGGACGTGGCAGTACAGTTCGGTTGTGTACAAGCAACATCATTAGCACAGAAAATACAACAGAGGTAAGGTAACCTGTACATAGACTTTCTGGTGAATAATTTGCATGTGACATGCATAATATCAAGAAATACAACCTTTTTACTTTGAATTCGTCTACCCATTTGTCACCAGGTATGAGACGGACGTCAGTTGCAGTGAATCACCAAATCAACAAGACGCAATAGATTTCAGGAAACCAATGTATCCATCAGCAGCTGTTTACGTGGCATGCAGGTAATTTTAGCACTTGTTAGCTCCGCTGTCGACTTTGTCGAGCGGAGCTTATCATATGAGTGATTGTCCGTCGTCCGTCTCCGTCGTCGTCATTTTTGGTAAAAAGTGATATTTTCGACTTGTTAAAAACCTCAAGTCCAATTGCTTTGATATATTGTACATATAGGTACTACATGTGGACCTCTCTCAGATTTGTTCATTTTCTAATGATATCTTCTGTTCTTTAATTGCCATGTGCATTGCTAACAACGGAGCTATCTCAGCCGACAGGCTGCTTGTTTTTTTAATGTCTGATTTAATACTGCAAGTCCAGGCTACGAACGTGAAATAATATTAATTTTCTATTTTCAGCAAATATTTTTGTCATCTTTCAAAAAAATTGTATTTCCAACGCTCTTCTTGGCAACAACTCGCCTGATGGTATTTGAGGTGTACAAACAGTGATGGAAATTAATCTAAATAAGCTGCAGATTAGATGGACCAATGAAGTTCCAAAGCTGCGGCCCCAACCAAAACAGAGCAGGTCCTGATTGTTTATCATGCAAATCCACCACACCCAGACAATATAAACACTTAATTTTTGTTTTACTGATATTCCTCCAAAACTAGTAAGAAAGATAAAATATAGAAGTTTAATATAGAATAGAACTGCAATCGAATCATAATTAATACATTCTCCTTAGAATATTGTAATGATGTTAATTATAAATCAAAACTATACAGGACGACATTACTTTTGTCAACTTGTCATAGCTATTATAAGTGGCTGTGGTTTATCTCTTGAGGATGGTAAACATATTTAGGAACTGCTGGATATCAGTATTATTATGTATTTGCGTGGTATTTGTACCACACTGAATTTAAGCTTGGTATGATGTTTGCTTTTCGATTGGTGATTTCTACTTACCGTAGTTACAAGGGTTTTGCCTGGCACATTAAAAACCAAATTTTGTTTGAAATGTTGACAATTGTTATGATTATCGATGAAATACTAATACCGGTACTACCTAATCTATGACCAAACATCAACAGAGCGCGTTTCCATTGTAGTGTATGCATAGTATTCTTAGACTGAAGTTGATTGCAAGTTTTAGACTGATGTTATTCATTGATTACCCCAAATTTGATGTTTTTGCAGTAATACATTTGAGAGCCGGTAATTTTTGGTTATTATTAGCTTTACTGTTGACTTATATTTTTGACTTCTTGTTGAAAATTGCAAGTCTGATTGCTTTGATATTATATAGAGGTTACTACATGTGGACCTCTCAGATAATTTTTATGAATATTTTTGGTAAAAAGTGGTATTTTCGACTTCTTGTTGAAAATTGCAAGTCTGATTGCTTTGATATTATATAGAGGTACTACATGTGGACCTCTCAGATAATTTTTATGAATATTTTTGGTAAAAAGTGGTATTTTCGACTTCTTGTTGAAAATTGCAAGTCTGATTGCTTTGATATTATATAGAAGTACTACATGTGGACCTCTCTCAGATAATTTTTATGAATATTTTTGGTAAAAAGTGGTATTTTTGATTTCTTGGTGAAAACAGCAAGTCTGATTGCTTTGATACTATACATATACTACTACTATACAGTTTCTAATGATATCTTCAGTTCTTTAGCTGGAATGTGCATTGCTAACAGCGGAGCTATCTCAGCCAATATTCAAATTTCTCAGTAATGACTATGACTGACCTTCATAAATACATGGTCATATAATTTGTATTCCCATAATAATTTTAAAACGTGATGACTGCAATGTTTCTACAATGCAAGCCTGAATTGGGTGGTGATTCCATTCCAGGCCATGTGTGCGAGGCAACTGTGGTTCTAGTTAACATTTTCAGGTGGTTTACAACTACTTGTATAACCCAGCTTAACACAATACATGAATTTGTTTGTTCCTTTCCAGATGTTTAAAAATCCGAGTTGACAAAACCAAAGTGTTAAGTATTGCAGGAGTTAAGAGATCTACATTTGACAAGCTGTGTGGGGCATTGGAAAGACATGCACTCAAACTAAGAGGTAAAAGTTACTGTTGTGTTTTCAAGTTCATAAACTTAGTTGAAGTCTTCCCGAAATTTGATGTGATGTTAGCTGGATTTTTCCTTGTTCCAAATTAACCTGGCGATGAATCATCGTAAATCCACATGTGTCAGAACACAATTCAAAAGTGAAATTTGAACTAACAATGAAATATTTGACGTAACATAAAAATGATTGAAAAGTGGGATGGATATATATCCAAGCAAATTTAGTCCATCGAATATTTTTTTTTTTTTTTTTTTTTTTACAATTTTATTTTTTACAATTACCGATAATACAAGACCTCCTCACTAAAGGTGATGAGTTGGTTATTTTTCTGGTTTGAAGAGCATCATTAGCATAATTGATAGCAATTAAAATAAATATTACAAATAAATTTGTTTTAATTTATTCCAGAAGGAAAAACTGCATTGAGTGGGAAGAGAAGTAGTAACTGGATACAAGACTTGGATAAATCATATGAAGGTAAAGTTTGTTACAATGAAGCACTTAACTACAAATTAGAAAAGAAACTAAATCATGAATGATTCCGGGAATATGTTAATATGTTAATATGTATGCGAGGTCTGTTTGTTGTATCTAGCTATTCTAAAATTTAACATGGATTAATTTAAGAATGTTGACATATTTAGATTAAATTATTCACGACATTGCCTTGCTGAGTAAATACACGATAACAAACAAAATGTCACTTTTTAGCCAAATTCTGATTATTTGATCATTTTTCTTTCACCAACAGAGGATGATTCAGAGTCGGGACAGCCTCAGTTGTTTGAAAGTAGATCTCCACGAAAGAAAGTAAAGAAAAATGACTTCGATGATTGGAAAAAAAAAATTCTTGCAGGAGCTGAATCAGCTGAAAAAAATTCCACAAAGTAATTGTTTGTATAAGGGAGACCCTGTAGGTATCTTCATTCAATCAATCAAAACCATTTACTTTCAAACTGTTGACAAACTGAATTGTCAATACAGGAATCACTCAATACATTTTATATGGAAGCCTTTCCCTGACTTGATGTCTTGTATTTTTTATATATAGAAATCTTTTCCGACATGGTGTCTTATATTTTTATAAAGAAGCTTTTTCTGTCATATCTTGTACTTTTATGTAGAATTCATTCCCATCTGTTTAATTAAATACAGTTACCATAATAAATATATTCAAAGTGACTTGTATGCAAGTATGAAAAAAAAAAAACTAAACCATCGTCAAATGACAAGCACATAGAATGTTCTGTTTTTTTGTGTCCTTCAAGTTGATGTAAAACAAAAAAAAACAGGTGTAAACATGTTGCATTTATTTAAAGTGTTGTTAAACCCACTTGGAAGGTATGGGGGGGACGGGGGTGTATATGCACTGGCCTGGCCTGGCCTTGTTATTACATTACATTACACAACACTTACACCACTGTAAAAACAGATGTCAACACAAATACATGTTGAATATTCAGGCAGTTTAGACAGGTTTACGTTGTTAAACTCAGGATCTGATGATTGGTTCAAATATATACAAGAGTTGTCAACTACAGATGTTTGATTGCATGAAAGACATTAATACTTAAAAAAAAAAAAAACTACACAGAAGACGGATATCTATCGTCAATCAAAACATTACTATCCGTGAGTCTGATTGTGCGTGTTATTTATTGACTGCCATATTTACACATCTTGTCAAAAATGCAAGATATGAGAGGTATTACTTTTATCTCTTTTTACAATGTAATTCCATGTGATGTATATACTGTATGTTTGGGCTTTTAATCATTCAATCAGTTATGCCAAGTGCCTGTATTATGCCATGTGTACTGTAAAAGCATTCATTATCACTGAGGTTTAAACTCGCTATTTTGATCATATTCACATGATTTTAATTTATCTGATTTCGAGCATTAATGTATTTACAGTACCCTAATAATATGGTGCCAGTCTGTTAGAAATTTTGAATTCAAGTGTGTTCACTTTTATTCATCATTTTTTTTTTTTTTAAATAAAATGGACTTTAGGGGATTTTTATTTTAAAATTTACCAGTATGAAAGATTTTCTTTAAAAACGTGTATAAACGAAAAGTGTTGCATTGTTATTATAGAAGTTGTATAAATCAACTTTCAATAAATTGTACGAGAGTTGACATAATTGGTGTATGTAATGTGTCGCCTGTCGCCTGTCCTCCCATAATGCACTGTGTCTTTGTATATACCATAGATGGCAGTATACTTGTTTTAGGGACTCGTTCTATTTTCGAATTCATAATCACCTGGGGGTAACTGCCATGAATGTTGCTGTGATATTTTTTTGTTTTTAAATGAATTTTCTGTAAATAGCTTTATAAAACTAATACAACATAAATAAAAAAAATGGTGAAATGTATAAGTTAGGTAGATGTATATTACTTTGCATGACAATCCCATGATGCATTGCCAGGTATGAATTGGTGTCGTTGTTTTATTGACTTGCATGTGCTTGTTACTGATCAACTCTTTGAATGCCAAAGACGACCATCTTGATTTTTTAAAGTGTAGTAGGATGAGAAATGAACAAATACGAAACATGCAAGTGGACAATTATTATTTTTTTTTTTGCCCTTCAGTTTTTGTCAAAATCAGTCAACACTCACTGGATTTAGAATAATTCGTTGTTGGCGTTGTGTCACTAAACTGTTATCTTCGTGCAGGAAATTACTACTTTTTAAATTGTTAGGATGACACTAGAGGGAGCTATTTTCGGTATTAGAAATTAACATGTTTGGATTAGACAGGTTCCATTTTGGCTTGGACGTTTTTGTCATGCCATACACAACGAAACTTTGAACCATTAGAAACTCTGCGAGGGGCGATAGCAGAAAAAACTGCGAATTTATTTTAAATAAATTGGACACCGGTAAATAGAGAAAACTGTCAAACCTGTTTTTTTATATTGCTAAATTCAGATATATCTAATTCAAAAGAAAGTTTAATCTCACAAAAAAGTTATTGGCATTTAATTAGAATTCACTAATTCGTGCATTGAGTCAAATTCGCTAAATGCATGTCACGTAGCTATTTTTTAGTGTTTCACAGTTAGTGTATAGCGTAGCTTGCATACCAAACTGGCAAAGTCGGGACTTCTTTTTTGTTTTACAATAAAATATAATTAATTTTAGCCTTTTTAACGTGATCGCAAAAACTAACGTGACTGCGAAAGAAATCGCTTTCTTTAGCGGTCAGCTTAGTTTTTGCGCTAACGCTAAAAGGACTAAAACAACAATTAATTATTTCTTTTTGTAAAACAGACAAGAAGTCCCGACTTTGCCAGTCTACTTGCATACGTGTGACTACTGGGCCATGCATCATGATGCTTAGAGAGCCTGAGGAAAGGCTACGTTCGATCGCCCCTGAATAAACAGCTTGAAAAAGTTGATGGACGTAATATCTTCACTAAATAGATGCATAATGTGACAGATTGCGAATACAAATCAGATTTGAGTCATGGGCGGCAAATTGTGTCTGTGTCAATGACAATTATCATTTATTACATATTACAGGAGCAGTCGTAAATATAATGATAAATGAAATATGACGTAGGATAAATAGCATTTTATTTTAAATACATGCAATTAATAAAATTAGTAACACTGGCATAAATCGCGAAATCACATATCAAACAACAACATTTCAAGAAAAAGATGAATAAATTTGTTAAATCTATTTGTTTTTCGTCTGAATACTGATTACATTATAAGTTTATTCTACATGGTTACAGGTTGCCGCAATTCAATGAAACGGATTGTCGACACCGCCACTTGACAGGTATGTCATCTATTAAATCATTTCATTGACCTCGCGTACATGTGACATGCAGAAAGCATATTATTTGATTTTTGGTCGAGATGGTACACTGTACCTGCCCGGGTGTCAGTTTCGGATGATCTGATGAATTTTAAATGTGTCACCCATGTCTTGGCATTTGGATTAGGGCTTAGGTTGATATGCTGTATTTTGATGTCAATACACGAATTTAAATTATTTTAACTGGGTGAATTGCATTTCTATATAGGATTGCAATTAAATATAGTTGAATCAAACTCCAATTGAATTTAATGTAATTGAATGTACCTTTCGTGGGCGCCCTGTATCACGTGAGCGTAGCTCCACCTGTCCAGGTACATGGACAATTATTCCAATAATGTACATTTACATTAAATTCAGAAACAACGTGTTTTAATTTAAACGTTTGTGTTATTTTCCCAAATATCTGAATTGTAGGAAAATCAGCGATTAGCGGTGATAAAACATGTTGAATTTCAGATTCTTCAATTTAAAGTAGAATTCTACACACAAATAAAAATGGTTTCATTATTAAAACAATTAAACACACAATTAGATATAGACGAAATGATACAACTGTTGTATGCGCTACACAAATTTACCCCTCAAAATGCAGGAAATGGCGTTTCAGGGGTCTATATTCAGGAGGTCGCGCCTTTTGCGCAAGGTTGGTTAGCAGTTCTCGCCCCCCCCCCCCGTGCAAAATCTCGTGCCGCCGCATCTGAAGTTGAAATAAAACACGTTCAAATCATTATATGTTGCCCTTTAGTAGATACACTACACGTGTATTTCAGTCCAGCAAACCCTATTACGCACTGCAAGCTCACTTTAATAACCCTCGGCATGATAAATATAGCGGCTTTGGTTTGAACGTTATAGTTTCAGCCAATAAGATATCATTTGGGGCAAACGTAGTAATCTTAAAAGGACGCCTTAACTCACCCATCGCTGCAGCATTAATAGCACACTTGTGTCGTTCCATATTAGTTTGTAATATTTCATTCAAAGTCCGGCCTTTGAATATATCTCCAAAATTCTCTGGCATAATTGAGAATGAGTAATATTTTAGAATCATAAATATTTTAACGTCACAGCGTCATTGCTTATGAAACTGGATTACATATCTGAATGTTATTGAACAGCAAAATAATTCGAATTATGATATTTAAAGTGACTGAAAACCAGTGTAGTGAGTGTATACGCGAGATTAGTCTTTTGAAGCGCCTTCTTTCTGTTCATGTGCTAAGCAGAAATGATTAATATTTCTGTTTTTCATGAAATGATGTTTTCATCATGAATTCATATGGAAATAGTTCTGTACAAGTTTGCATTCTCCAGACAGTAAACTATACAAGGGTACTCGATGGAAGGATCGAGTGAACCTCAGACAACTTCTTTTACTTGTCTGATGTGGGTGGGTGACAGTCACTTCAGGCTTGTACACTGGCCCAGGAGATAGAAATGCGCACGGACCGGTCCAATATGGGTGGAACAATCATGTAACGAGGAATCAAACCAGCAAAAATATGAACACTATGTACACGAAAACAACTGAATGCGTTGTAACTGAAGCTACCTCGAAAATTCACCGTCCTTCGGAAATGAACGTGCTGATGAAGGTCGGTGGGAAATCAGTTTGCCTTTTACGAAAATATTGACTAGTGTAATAGTACTAATACAATGTGTATTTCCCATTCTTAGAGTAACTAACAAATGGAATTGTTGGAATTGTTTCATTATCCATTCCAGGCATCGAATATTAATTTGAAATGTCAAATACCATTCGTTCATCTTTTAGTTTTAGCTTTGCTGGTTTCCCTGGCAACTCTTCCGGTAATCGATGCGCTTTCTACGATTCGGTTGCGCATGCGTCAGAAGTGCTCCCAAAACAAAAGCGCGGCTAGAGACGTCAAATCTACACCTTTGCTCCGTCCTATAGTTTATAGCTGACTGGTGTCTATTTTCTCATCCATGTAGATGCATCATCAACGAACGTCATGATAGAATTATGTGGGTCGTGGAAATAACATAGAATTTTATTTGGAAAGTTGATTTGGTACTGGATCGGGCAACAGATGAGCCCAAACTTTTTCGGCACACATGATGACGATATGTAGCTTCCAATGTGAGAAGAGCTGAAATACGCCGCCGTTCGCTATAGTCTATTTGTAAATGATGCCGAAAATCACAATTTTGGACCATAATTTGCAGTGAAGACAATTCGACTATGGGGTGTTCGGCGAGCCAACAACATGTCGATGCGTTATTCAGAGGAAATGGTAAGATCTTTTAGGATATGAAATTACCCCCTTAAATAACGTTTTTACATGTCGTTATTGTATGAACTTTGACTGACACGAGTGCAAGCCGCAGAAAATGTTGTCTAAACTTGACCAGGTCTTTGAATTAAGGCGAACTACATGTACAGTCTACCAGTCGAAACAACGCGTGTATGTGGTCGGACACTGCCAGTGGCAGGATTGGTTTGGCGGGCCTCTAGTAAGACATTAGGGACTAGAGCTGGGTGAAGTCGCGGCCTTTTTGCGAATTCTTACTTTAAAATTGCTCATGTTCTGCAAGTATAAATATGTCTAAGAATAATATATCATTTAACTTTGATTTATTGAATAAAACTACGTTTAATTGTAGTTATTCAATTTGGCTTATTTTCGTCTGCTATAGGTATACACGTTTTCTCAGCGGCCCGTCGATATGCTATAAATACTTCGTGCCGTATATCTCATGGCAGGTGCATGAATGTGGAATAGGAAATTTAAAAGTCAAAACGGAAAATAAACGACAATGAAAAATCCACGAAATGGGAAATACTGTTGAATAACTCACAAGGTCATGACCTGTTGTGAATTGATGTTGCGTGTGGAGGAAACCATGTCAGACAGATCTCCAGTCACCGCTCATTGACAGAAATGTGATTAGATAAGTGCAAGGGCAAAATAATTTGTCGCATACAGAATGAGATATTGAAAAACAACTCAACGAGAATCTCACACCGGGATTGCGAGTTGATGGTTGTTCTTGTTAGACAGAATACATGATTTACTAGTATTTGGTTATTTAGGATTTCATCATATTATGTTTGTTATAAGGCTATAAACTGTTTTTTAAAAATCCAATTTTGTTTCGAGCAGTCAAAAAATGCAAGAAAACATTGCAAAGTAAGATTACCTCGTTTTGAGTTTAAAATTTAACACAGTAAAGCAGTAGCTCTTTTATTTCAACTCAGTATTAGCCCTTGGCTAACCTACAATTGTTTTAAATTTAGCTTCCATGACTTGCTGTAATCATTTATACAAATAATTATTAATGTGAGTTGCTAGGTGAAATGAAAGCTTCTAACTGGAGGCTTTCTATTATGACTTCATTGTGTCTCAATTTACTTCAACTAACACAATTAATGTTGTTGCTTTAGACGGAAAAGTTTATTAAGTGGAGAAATTACTTTTCTGGATTACAGTAAAAATAAAAAAAAAACAGAATGCAGTTTGATTTTAAGATTCTTAATTTTTTGAAACTATGAACAGTAGATACTGTATTTCTGTGTATATGAGATGAAAAAATGAATGATTTACTTGTGTATCTTCATTGCCTATGGTAATTTATATAATATAAAAACATTCTGTTGATCGAAAATGCCTTTGATTCACAAAATAGTTTGTTGCTCAGAGGGACTGTGGCTTACTATTTGATTATGATTTACAGTTTTGGGGACAAAGATTTTGGTTAAATAATTTTACATTCACATGGTTGGTTTAGACAGGTGTGTGAATTTAAAATGTTGTCAGTACATGTGTATTTAGGATAATGTTCTTTAAGGAAAGTAAATTGGGAAATTAATGTTTTGGTGAAAAAGGTGGTTGAAAAACTTACATTTAAATTTTTGAAATAAGTAGAAAGTAGTTATCGTGTTATGTAACTAATTTCCTCTTTACTTTTTTTTTAAATTTCTGTACGCAAAAACCTATACCACAATTTTAATTATTTGTGAAATAATTTCATGAATTCAAACCTGTGCATAGCGACTACAAAATGGTCACTATAGGCAGGTGGTCTCTATATAGAGGTGGTCACTAGTAAACATGGGTTTGACTGTATTTAAATGCAAATTTTGTTAACTTTTTGCAATCATTTTCAACTAACTTGCTAGTTTTCTGTAGGGCAGGGCAGGCATCAACCTGTTATTAAGCTGAAGTTAAAATATTAAAAACATCACAGCTAATGGTTTACAGTAAGTGCTACTTTTGACATTTTACCCTGATTTAGAATAATAAAAAAAAAAACTCACTGGAGTGGAATGAACGGTATTAATGTGAGATAATAAAGAACCACTCAAAGCAAAATGACAATCATTTGATGTTTGGAAAACTTTGTACACAATGTCTATTCATGCGTGAATTAATTCATAGACATGAATTGAAAGTTGAGCAGAGTTGGTGTTGAGACTGGCCGTACACATTTGATAGCTGCAGGGGTAATACCAAACAGGCTCTCTTAGCAATTCTTAAACATATTTAACAATACTTTTTAGTAATTGCTGTAATTGATTGAAAGAACCTAAAATAAAGTGCATAAATAGATTTTCAAACACTCCAAGTTAACATGTGTTACTTAAATACCAGCTTCACTACTATAGCGGCCCTATTAAACCAAATAACATGGTACTGTAAATGCATTAATTATTATTCAATGAGTTTCAATTTCACTATTTTCATTGATGAGTACCGGTAACATCCACTAAAATGAATCCATGTGAAAATTTAAAATAACAATGGAACTCATTGTTTCACTACCAAATTTGGTAAAATTCAGAACCAGTGAATTTAAAACATCAAAATAGAGAAATTAAATATCAGGGAATATAGATGGTTTCACAGTATCATATGTGTTTAGAGTTGTAATTAGTGACGTATTTATAGTTGGCATTATTTCTCATTTGTCATGAGTCATTATTAGATTAGTTAATTTATTGAATAAAGTGAATTCTAACTGCATTCGTTGACCTAGAATTAGTGAAATGACAGGTTTGCAAGATGTTTTATTGTATGTGAATATCAATTTCTAGTGAAAGATTGTATTGTTGAATATGTATGTAAATAATCATGGCATATCATCTGGAAAATTGATCATCTGTGTGAGGTCTAGAAAGATTGGAAACACATAATCTCCATTATGAGATGTTAAGTTGTCATGGTAACTGTTGATTCAGCTACAACAGGTGTCACAACTGATTTGTCTTCAAATTTGGCAATTAAGATAGATGTGTAGCTTGGATTGCAGAGAGAGAGTACTTTTCTATCTTGAATCCTTAATGGATTGACAATGTGTGTGGGAAAGCTAAATGGCTGTTCGTTATTCTCAAAGGCTTTGGCTCTTGTGATTGGTATACAATTTTGTAGCCACGCTTTCATAACCAACACAAGATTTCATTATGAACAGTGAATGGGATAATTCTTCATTTATTAGTAAACTAGACGTAATCTAATCTAATCCAATTAGTGATTCATTGATCTGTTAAACGTGGGATGTTTCAAAAATAAACATATTTGTCCTATTTAGAAGCACATTGCCAATAGAAGCACTTATAAATAAATCAAAAATTGTATTTGTTGTATACTGAATCGTTAAAATATCACTTAATTTGACCATTGAAACACCTCTGTAATTTACATAAGCACATGTGCTACTAATAGAGCAAATACGATATAATTGTGGTTTTCAGAAACGATCAATGGTGTTCATTCCCCACCTAGGTTTCTTTCTTTCTCAACAAATTCTGTTGAGCTAGACTGTAATTTCCTTTTTTTGATTAAGCTGCCAGCCATGTAGCCACTTCAATTTTCACTGTTGATTAAAATATTTCCAATATATTCACTACATTGAAATAGGGAACCGAAAATTCAGACAACTCTGAAATATTTTGATTTTGAAAAAGGTTCTAGATTGCCTAGTTTTGGAAAATCCATATTGTACGTCATCTGTTTTTTTAATCAATTCACTATATCATCTAAATTGATTGGAAAAATCAAAAATAGAAACATTATTAAAGCAAAGTTAGTAACTCTAGCTTCTACAGAAATTGCACAGTCACCTAGAAATCAGTTTACTTAAAATTAAAGATATATATGGTGACAGACTACACAGTAATTTTAATTGATGTGTAAAGCTGAACCCATTCATTAGCTATAGAACTTTACTGAAGTGTCCTTATTTTAAAATAGTGCCATAATTCATACATTAATTAGATTGTGAATAAATAAATAAATATATGATTTTGTTTTGGACTATTAAAATTGTTATAAGAATAATTAAAATTAACGTGGTTATAGAAAAAGTAAAAGCAAAATACTAAAATACTCGAAGTGTGATACTCTTTACTCCTTGTTAAGAACAAGGGTGATAGTTATTATCTGAATGTGGTTTCATGCCGTTTTTTTTGAAATGCTGAATAAAAATTAAAATTTTGACTTTTAACATAGATCAGGTGGTCCATCTAGTAGAAAGATAAAAGCAAAATTACTTGACTGACTGTAATCTGTTATGTTTAGACTGGTTTTACCCAGTGTTTTTCACCAAATGGTTCAGAGCAAAATTCCTTGTTTCCATAGTAACAAGTTTTCCTTGAACTGATTATGCAATTGTGGTACAGTTTGTTTACCATTGTAGATTTAGGAATTTATAATTTTGTGAATTTATTCAGTACCATCCTTCTGTAAAAACTTTTGAATTATTTAGTATTTATAATTAAATAATTTATTTATTTGGAATTCCATAGGCTCCTAAGCATATTATAAGAATAAACAAACAAAGCAAAAAAAAAAAAAAAACACACAACTAACAAATTTAAAAAAAAAAAATTGAATTAAAAGAAAATGAAAATTGATTAAGTAAACAGAGCATGTCTCATTTTAATGGTAAATTTATAGAAATCCATTGAATAAATCAATATTGGGGATTGCTAAGTACTCATTCAAATAGTAACTGACGAATGTTTAAAATTTGAAAATCACTGTAGTTTGAATAAAATATCAGGAGAATAATATTCTACATGCACACTTGTTTAAAATCTGCATGACAAGAACACCGCTATAATCATTCTTTACAAATTTATAGCAGAGATATGATCTGTCTAATGTGTTTATTCCATAGGCTATGAATCCTATTCCACCTTAGATAGGAAGACTTCCTCCAGGAGAAAACTGTCAGCTGAGATCAAAGCTATGTACACTACATTCTCCACAGAAGTGATCACAATACTGCATTTCAATGATGTCTATAATATTGAAGCAAGAGATATTGATCCTGTCGGCGGAGTGGCGCGATTTGCAACTGTTATAAAGGAACTTCAGCATGTCAACCCCCTGTTGTTGTTCAGTGGAGATTGTCTTAATCCATCGATAAGTAAGTGGCTGTGATTAGAAAATAACGATTTAAGAAATGGATCATGTAGTACAGCTGACTGGTAATGATTTATCACATCACAATCAATTCGGAGTTGGGTGGAGAGGGTTGATTGGTTTGTGAATTTAATTCCATACTGGTAGTGTGGGGCAAACTTCCACAGATTTCAGCTATTCTATAATGAACCAAAACATATGTATGATAAAAACTGGTAAAATTATTGCTACAACTATACTATATAGATTGTCACACTTTATTTACATTTACACATATGCACAGAAACCGGTTGGCAAGATCGGTTGTCTGTACCCGAAGGTAAAATAATAGCATTGTTCACCGATATTAAATATGCTCTATTAGAAGCATATGCGCTAACATTCTTAATCAGAGATGTATCTATGACTAAAATAAGTCATATTTTAACTTTACAGTACAGAATGAATGCAATTTAAGGTTTATGAGTGCTTCTATTGAAGTTGTGTTTCTAATAGAACAAATACGGCACAGTATTTGCTCTAGTAGTAGCGCATACACTTATATAATTTACAGTACATGTCAATGTTATAACTTGTGGGCAACATTGTCACCTCAGATCACAGGGCTTAGTAAGTAACATTTGTTATCAAACTTTGCATACTGATTGGCAAAATAAAAATAAATAAGTGACAGTGCAATGGCCTATATGGAAATGTTAAAATTAATGGAAAAATTAAAAAGAGTAGATAAAGGATAAAAGTGGGAAAGTAAAAAAAATGGGAAAAAATGAAAAATATTATTGAGGTTGAAATGAAAATAAAGTTTGCATTAATTATAATTTACACAAGAGATCACTGTAGTACCTGTCACAATCAAAATGCACTTTATTTCAAATGATTTTTTAAAACTGGGTTTATCAACATTAAAACTGGAAATCACCACCACAAATTTGTTCACCTGCTACTTTCTTTTCTACTTGACAAGTGTGTGGTGACCACATCATTATTCACTGATCTAAAGAGACAGGCAATCTCTACAACCACCTGTGCCGACAAAAATCTACCTGCTGGGAACATGAGGATATCCCCCATTTCGATCTCTGGATATACAATAAAATCTAAATGACGACTGTGTCTGGAACATTTCTATGTTAATAGATTGTGATATTTTATCCTAAACAAACACATTATAGTTTTTTAGAAATCTTATACAAACAATTGACTAGCCTCTGTCGCTTTTAAAGTAATGATTTATATTACTTCAGAGAATTGTCTACTTTGCAAAACATATACATATATTGCAATTGCTACTCATTCAACATACAGTACAACACTTTTGGCCTTTAGAAAACTAATGCTTTCTTAAATAATTGTATTGATGCTAAATATGTAATATATAAATTAAATTTAGTACTCCTTAGTCTGGCAGGTATCCCCATCCCAAACATTTCTGTATGTTTGTTGACATGAATCCTGTTCTTAGCAAAAAAATCAAAACAATGCAAACTCTTCGACTCTGATATTCCACCCTTTTTGGCTGGACTTCTAAACTGAAAAAAATCTCAGTCTCATAGGCTACTTCATATATTGTTTATCCTTGAGAAACTTATTTGCCCCACATCACCCAACAATGAACAATGTTGATGAACAAAGTTGCAACAACATACTATGTGATAATATTTGCAGGACTTATACTCCATGAGTGTGATACATTGAAATCATCTCAAGAGAAAATGGTGGCAACAATTGATGTATTAAAAGATCAAATATTTATAAAACAATTTTATTTCATGGGTGAAATATAATTACATGAAATGAAAACCTGTATGATAAAAATAATGTAATTTACCTACAATCAAATAAACATTTAAGATGATATATGCATGTGACATCATTGCAATGTAACCATGTATTTGCACAACTATAGTAAATGTCACTCCTTTCCGGATTCATGCAATGCGTTATTAAAAGTAGTGCCAGTGAGTCTACTCCATGGAGACGGCTTACGTCAAATCGTTATACAGATGGCAGGCAACCATCATCAATTGCCATTTAAAAAACACTGACAAATTATTGTAGGCAATCACTAGGCAACTTATTTTAATATCAGTTTTCTTGTAATACAAGTGTAATAATTAAGGTTACTGCTGATGCATGATGTAGAACTTCATGGTATCTCGCTTACTTCAAGTCACATAAGAGATTAGTGATAGAAAATAAAGGTGAATCAGTGATGAAAACTATGGAAGATACAGGTATACTATAATAGTATGGATAGTAGTTTTGTTCATGAGTATATGTATAGATAGATAAAAATGTTTATACAAAATAAAACAGTAACAGCAAAGAAAATGCGAAAGAACAAACAATGATACAATGAAGGACAATTTATATTTGGTTTTAAGGAAACTGTGAAATACAAAATTTGGGCTTCTGCTAACACTTCATCTGTGACCTTTAGACATGATTATGTCAATTTAGTGAATTGCCAATTATTCAGAGGAAATGTTTATTGTTTAAAAACATGTCACCATTTGAAAAACAAGCTGTAATGTGTATGTTACTTGAATCTGACACAAAGTTTGTAAAAGTAGTGTACTGTATTAACTCATGCGCTGTGAATGACCGAGGTGTGTTGATGGTCAAAACACAGTCCCTGTATCAGAAACTGTGCTCAAAATAAGTAACATTTTACTGATTCAGGATACCAGTACATACAAATTTTTTGAATAGCATTTCCTATATTTTACCGTTATCAGATGCCTTGTATTGCCTGGCCATGTAACACAATGAAAAACCTGATGAATGAGTCGTGCAATAATTTCTCATACATCAAGTTATGGGAGTGACCTTTGTAAAACTTGATCACATTAACTATACTGACTAGCTTTTGGTTAGTTTAACTGATATGTATTGTATAGGACAAAAATCTAACCAAACAAATATTTATTTCTAATATACATTTTTCTAATAAAGCCAATATTTGATACATTTAACTTTATAGACTGGATACAAATTTCGCAACCAACGTTCTTATGGTTAACACACCCTCCCAAACGTGAATCCTTTCGCTAAAAAAACGATATACAGTCCATATAGATGATTGTATGCCGATGATTTAGCTGTTACACATTTTCAGTTAAAAGAAAACTTTAGCAGTTTTGTTTTTAAAATGTGGTGCAATCAGAATACTGAAATTCAAGCCTTGAATCATAATTTTTGTGTGTGCTTACAGTATGAAATTATGCCGACACCATTTTATCCAATATTATGTACATTTATCAAATTACATCAAGTAGTTTTGAAATGGAATATTAATGTACTGATTATTTTGTTTCTCAACTTAAAAGAAATTAATATTGTTGACTTTTTAAATTATTATTCAGTGAGTAATGTAACAAGGGGGAGACAGATGATACCTGTTATGAATGCATTGAAGGTCCATGCGGCCGTCTATGGAAATCATGATTTTGGTAAGTGAAAAATTTCTAACATCATGTCTGTTTGTTGCATGCATATAACATTATATGTTAAAATCAAAGCCCAAAATAGAATTAGAAAATAGACACTGTAATAAATGTAACACTAAAGCATTAGGAGATGAAAAACATTTCCTGCTATTTTGTACTGGCTATATAGAACAAAGAAAAAAACTGTTTGATGAGTGTTCAATAAATATTTACACAATGGATGTGAATTCCATATTTAAAAAGATTATGGAGAATAATATAGCTTTAGCAAAATACTTAAAGAGCACAATTTTTAAAACCACAGAAAGTAATTAATTTATTTTTTTATTTTATTTTACTAACATTTTATTTTTATCTCTTATGTATTGTATGTATTTATGTTCCTTACCATACAAAAACCCTCTGAAGGTTTTTTAGTAGTGTAATAAAGTTATTATTATTATAAATATTTTACTGTTGGCTAGACAGATCATAGCTTGTCAAAAATATAAAATTAAAGTTATATCTAGGAGTATACACTGAGTGACAAGTCTGAAAGCTTAATTGATGCATTTGCAAGTGCATTTCTCTGTGGGCGTGTTCATGATGCAGCAACAAATAGAAAGCATATTGTCTTGAGTAAATACTATGATGAAACTTGATCTATTCCATTAAATGCTCTCACGAATATGCTGGCATGTTCACACTTAAAGCTCTCGCTCACTTATGCAAGAGTCTATTTAGCAAATAATTGCCACTACAGTGTGAAATATAATCGTATGTGTGCTTATTGCTTTATATCAGGAAGGTCAAAGTCTATATTCACAAGCTAGGCTGTTAAAAAAGACGTAAAATACATATATACTAGCCTAACAAAAGAATGCTGCTGCCTTCTGTGTGTGAGTTGATGCTCACAAAACAAAACTTTGGTTGGCAAGCTCACTCCAGTTTGCTATGCAATGATGGTCCATGGCTTGAAATCATTTCCCTGCCAATATTCTTTATAATACTACAGCCTTGCAGTGTTCTCTTGTATAATTTTAATCATGATGGTACTTCATGCTAGAATATAAAAAAAAACAGACAATGGACAATATTCATTCACTGATTGAGTTTGTATGTTATGAGATTTGGGAAACACTTACACATGTTTATGCTAATTAATATATATATATAATAATAAATTTATTGCATCCTTAGAAATAGTTTCCATTGGTTGACAACAATAAAATGTTAGTGATAAAGTACAATACATATAATACTAAAGTAAAAAGTTATTGTTATTTCTGATTTCAAATATTCTGTATGAGTGAGTATTCACCAACTTGTCTTATTGTTATGTCTTTTCTTGAATTAGTTGTCATTCATATGTAAATGAGCTGCTATACTCAACTGGGTCATAATGCTAGAGAGAACACTTAGCATTAATATAATATTATACTGTGATGACTGTCAGTTCCATTTTATCTGAACAATTTTTCCCAAACGCAGTAAATTTGCAGTAATTACAATTAAAGTACTTATAAATTGAAATGAATATATCATACTGACTTGTTCATTAGCAAGTCACAGTATGAACATGAATTGTGT